CTCCCTTTTTTACGTCGGCATAGCGATGTACGGCGACGCGCGGCACGAGGGAAACTCGCAGGCATTATCGGGAGCGGCTCGCTTTTCCTTCCAGTCTCTCGGCCTCTCTCCAACTTCTATCCCTACCGGCGGATTCCCGTTTAAGCCAAAATCAATAGGCGCGTGCTCGGATCTGATAAGTATCCCAAAGAGAGAGCTCCGCCTCTCTCCTACATCGAAGAGAAGATTCTCTTGCATCGCACGCTTAAATACATTTATGTGTGTCGCATACGTGCACGTGTATGTGAAGCTATCCTGGCTCCTTTCACCTACAAACTTTGACTAAACTGTCAAATTGATTTTTACCATCTTTGCATTTTCCAAATTAATTTTGATAAACGGATCAATTCATTTTACGCTTTTATACGTCCTTTCGCTAGAACGCCTGGTTCAAGTATAAAATATATATAATACGATATTTGATGCGTATCAAAATAAATGGCGGATGTGACTCGAGATTCATTTACAACCCCTGTTTTAAATTACTTGGCACTAGACGACGATGTTCTCAAATTTTCTTCTTGCATCACTTAAAGATTTATGGATATCGCATACGTATATGTGCACGTGAAATTATTTTCGCTCCTTTCACCTATAAACTTTGACTAATGTGAAATTGATTCTTACCATCTTTGCCATTTTCCAAATTAATTTTAACAAAGGGATATGGATCGATATGGATTTTTTACTTTTATATCTCTTTTCGATAGAACACCCGCTAGTTCAAGTACGAAATATATATAATACGATATTTGATGTACATATCAAAATAAATGGGGGATGTGACTCGAGATTCGTTTACAACCTCCGTTTTAAATTATTTGGCACCAGACGACGGTGTCCTCAAATTTACGCAGAGTCACGTGCGATCTTCCATTTAAACACACAGACGTTTCGCTCAGCTCCCCCCTTTCCCCCCTGCGAGTGTCCCGCTAGCGTTTTTATGCCACCTCCGTCTCGCACGACCGTAAATCCTTCGTTACCGGAACTTTTTAACGAAACTCTTCCGTGTAATCCCTTCGGCGTTCTGTATTTGCCGTAAAGATTCCGCTGTCGTCCGCGCGCGACACGTGATGTAGCTTCCGTACCCCTTTCGCGCACTTTGTCTTATGCAATATCCCGCTGAAGGAACACGCGCGCACGTTGGACGAACTCGCGAGCTCGGCTTCTCGCCGTGCAAGAATCCATGGAATTTTTCGAGTTAGCTCTCCGAGCTGCCGCGATCTGAAAATCCGGAACATTTGAGCAAAAACAAAAAGGCCGAACGTTTAATCCTCGCGGAAATACGGAGTAATTCCGCTGTCTTCCTCCCCTCCTCGCCCGGAAACAGTCGCTGTCCCCCGCCTGTTCTCGATTGTCCTCTCGGTCTGACTATGCGACCTCCCCCCTCCCCTCTTCTTTTTAATTAAAACAGAACTTTTGTTCAATTACATTATACACGCGGCGTTCCAGATTCACCGCGAGAGTCGCAAGTTTTTAGCCATAGATATATAATCGAGGCCGAATTAAGAAAAACAGTGGTTGTACCAATATTGAGGCTGATCGATAATTGGGGTGTGTACACAGAGCGGAGAAACTTCATTCTTCAATTAATCTCGAGTAGACTCGATTTTGTAAGAAATTTGAATGCCACGAAATGTTAAAATGTAAATGTTGAAAATGTAAACATTTCGATCGGCCTGCAGTCAGATTTTCGCAAAAGCAGAATCTACGTTTGAATTAAAGTCAAGGAATTAATTTCGCGAAGTTGAAAGTTAATATCGTAAGAGATTGCGTGTTCTTCGTCGATCCTCTCGGTGGCTCGATTCGTGCCTACTGGCGCGTGAGCTGCGTATCGAAATAATTTCGCTACAACGGAGGCAAATGTTCTTTTGATGACGTCGGCTATTGTCGCCACCCACGGCTAATAGTCGCTTTTGCCCATAGCACGTCTGCCTATTAGCATACGCATTCGAGCGTGTTTCTTGCCGCTTTCTATCCATCCTCCCGTTCGCTGAACACATGAAACGGAACATGAAATAGAATCTTCAAAAGTGCTTCCCCCTCCCCCTCTTTGATAACACATCTTCGATTCATCTCTCATGAACAGTTCGTGGTCGCATTAAACATTTCCAATTAAATAGCAAAGAGCCAGACATTGGCATTTTCACAAATGTTATCTCTCTCACGTGAAGTCGCATTTACTGTTACATTTTGTGAATTGAACGGAACCCGCGTGCATTCCGAAGGCGGTTTCGAGGCTTCAAGATATGGGTGTAACACAGCGATAGGGAGATTTTCATATCGCGCGGCTTTCCGCTGAACTGACGATCATTTCGGCCCCGAGAAACATTCCGCTATCTCGCGCGAACGAGAGACCGTCGGCCAGGGAGCGCATTTTAGATTCGTGATTTCAACGATATAGGATTTCTCTCAGGCCGTGGAGGAGAAAGGCCAGCGAAATCCAAACTCTTTGAATCGGCGGACGGCTCCGTGGCTGCCATTGTGTGGGTGGCTTACCGTCGTTTCTCCGGGATAAAGCGGGTATCACCGGATACTGCTCATCCCGAGTCTATCGCCGGTGCCGTCCAACGGCTCTCGGAGGATCCCGTTCCGTCTCTTGAATTAGAGGGAGGACTGCACTCAGTGACTTTCATAATCGCCTTTAATACCGCTCGTGAAAGGTCACCTTCAGACGTTGCATAACTATTTTATTAACGCTCACGGGCGCTTATAGCGCGCAAGAACGCCCAGCGGTCTTATTAATTTTCGCTCATCAAAGGAATGTTGAAAACGGATTTACAAATTCTACCTATTTCTACTTTCTACGATTTGATAAATAATTTGATAATAATTGTTAAAAAAAGATCGAAATTTGCATGATTTCTTATTAATTTATATATCGAGATATTCTCATATCTCGTTACAATAAATAAGAGAGCTGGATAGACTAATGAATTTTTAATTAATTCGCTATAAGAATTTCGTTGTTTACTAGCGCAATATTGAATCGAGATCGTATTTTTTCACGAAGATGCCTAGCGGCGCGATTCCACCTTACGTTACCGTAAACAGAGCGATGTCTAAAACGAGAAGAAAAACAGAGTTGGTTCCGGCGTAGTTGCAGCCGTGAACATCGCAGCGATCTTAATTTCCTGGGCGGATGGTGCGTGATAATTTCGATGAAAAATTCCATCCTGCACACGGCGTAATTAACGAGGAGATGGGAGATGCGCGCGCGCGCGCACGCGCGCGCGTGTGTAGCACTGGTCCTGTCCGCTCGTGAAAGGACCTAATTAATTAGATATCCCTACGACAAATTGCTAGAATTACACCTCGCTGATTACAATTAGAACTGGAATGAAATTCCAGCGCAATAAAAGCGCGGCACACTATACTCGCGTTATGTTCTACGTCACTCTCTTATTCTCTCCCCCTCCTTCACCCCCCCCTCTCTCTCTTTCTCTATCTATCTATCTTTCTTTTCTCTCTCTTTCTCTCTGCTTTTCATTTATGCGTGTACTTCTACGAACGAATGCACGCATATTTTTTGCCATTTATAAGATTTTATGAAAAATTAAACGCAGAACTAGAGTTTCTTCATTAGAAAAGAAGAGGAGAGAGATAAAGAATAAGAGACTAAAAAAAAAAATAGAATAGATACGCAATTGTGCTACGAATGCTTTGAGAGGGAGTCTAGTTTTTCTTAATGAAATTTTCTATTATTTTATATTTTGAAATCAAAATATCTGAATATTATGCATTGTAAGGAAGAAGAGGAGCAATTTAATTAAAACGTCACAAAGAAAAGGAAAAGATATATCTTGGGAATAATATCACATAAGTGGAAAGTGGAGGTATATTAAAAACGATTAAAAACGACGATCTGATTAGATAAAATAAATATTTATTATTTCTTCATCCGACTATTACTTTTGATAAATCCATAATGTTTTTCCGAGCAATTTTGCAGCTTTTTTCCAATGAAGCGAAAATTAAATTTAAGCAGTTAATATAAAAGCCGTCAAGGGTCGAGCGAGAAAGAGAGCGTAAAGCGAAAGCGTAGAGAAGCGAGGGAAAAGATTGAGGGGACGAAGAACGAGTGGCGAGGGTAGATCAGCCGATTCGTAGTGGTAGTAAAAGCAACCCATGAAAACCGGGACCCGGTGTCCGGATTACGACTGTGAGATTCAAGAATTTTTCCATTTATCGCCCTTCTTGCATGAACGCATACAAGAATTCGATACGAGAATATGGGTGGCTCTCCGCTCTCCTCCAGGCCGATGGGCGGGGGCGAGAAGGGGGAGGGGGCGCGGAGATGGCCGCGCGGAGCGAAAGCCGGGGGATGTTACCCACCCTCGACCTCCGCCTTGAATATCTAATCGACGGCGTGCTGCTCGCTCATGCATACATTCCGACGGTGGCGAATCGCGGCTGTGCATTCCGCGAGACACTACTCGTCGAAGATGCCAGGCGCATTCGCTCTTTTTTTTTCCTCCCCCCTCTTTTTCGAGCGTCGCAGCGCATCGTATTTTTCCAAGCGCGACGCGTGCGATACGATCGCCCTGTCGTGATATCCGGCGAGATTGGAAAGGGCTGAGCGCGACACGTAACGCAAAATGCGTTGTTTCATTTTTCGTTTATCGATGACGAAGGGTTGAAGCTCATAAATTGATTATAAGTGCAGTAAACCTTTTTTTCTTTTAAATATTTTTGCTCGTACACATATGTTATTACGGTAAAAAAACATTTTGCAATATTTATCTTACAATTTATTTTTACTCTAAACGTTTAATTTATTCTTCGAAACATTCATAATTTATACGAAATATGTTTTATTAATTTTTCATTTTTTTATTAATTTTATTAATTTTTTATCTATCGATTTACGATGTCTATTTCCAACAAATTGAATTCATACAATTGAGAGCAAGAAAGGTAAAGTAAGTAAAGTAAGTAAATATGTCACATCGCTGTTCCAGGCCAAATCACCCCGGAAGTTTTGCCCGAGTTCTTAGGACCATTGGAAAATCACACGGTGATCCAAGGTCGTGACGTTTTCTTTACCTGCGTCGTTAATCATCTGCAATCGTACAAGGTATGATTTCCCATTTCAAATAATTCTTGTTTATGCATTGTTGTAAAAGATTGTAAAAAAAGAAACGTGCTGGTAGCACCGTTGAATATTAAAAAGACCGTCTGTTATGAAAGACGTATATTGAAATTTATGTATAAGAGATGCGACAGTGTGTCCTTCGGGCCTTCCCTTCGAATATATAATAAATATATAGTAAATAGCGTATCGAGAATATTTCTGTGAAAGCTTGTATTTTTATCGGCGGGGAAATTGAAAAATTATGTCTGTCGATAAAACATTTTAAATCTGGACGTAAACATTATCAAGTACGCTCATTTCTTCCGCGAGTCTGACCATATCCGTTTGTGATTACTACATGCGAGCGCCTACCATAATTAATTTTAGATTAATTTAAGTATCTAATTTAAGGGAATGATACGGTAAAAGCACAAAAAAAACGCTTTTTTGATAATTTTGTTTAATATCGAGTTTATTTCGTTTTTTAATCAGACTTTCAAGCGATTATTCGTATATTTCAATTAGCAAAGTATCCATCATATTAATTATAATTTTGCTATCATTATTTCGGAAAATAAAAGCCGCCCTTTTCACGTTTCAGGTAGCCTGGATAAAATCGGATTCCCGAGCGATTCTGGCAATACACACGCACATGGTGGCGCACAATAACCGAATATCCGTCACGCACAACGGGCACAACACGTGGAAGCTGCACGTGTCGAATGTCCAGAAGAACGACTCCGGTACCTACATGTGTCAAGTAAATACCGACCCTATGCGCAGTCAGGTGAGCAAAGATCAAATCAACGATCCCGAGGGTTCGCATAAACTTGACTTTCGATTCAGACTTTGAAAGACGCGCCACCTTTCTGCTACCTTCGCCGAATAACATTCTGCAATGGAATTAAAGATCACCAATACCGCTCATTCATATTTTTAATGACGTCATGCTTCTCTTTTATTCGCAGATATTTGCGCATCTCTTTATTATCTTTTTGTCTTTTTTTTTAATGACACGGGTACCCGCATTTTTTGAAATACCGCAAACGCAGCTTCAAACAGTATTATCCGGTACGCTGAAACGCGCTACAACGTGCATCCGCAATAACAACGTCTATCTCTGTTAAATTAATTTCCATTTACCTTCCACCCGACGCTTTATTTTTCGACGGCGTTTCCGCGTCGGAATCGCGCGCGGCGGCGGTCGTTACACACGTGGCTCTATCGATTTCCATCGACAAAGCGTCGTGTCGCGTCGCGCGACATAATTCGATTAAAAAGATCGCGGTTTCGCGCAATTCCGTCCGGCGGAATTTTTAAAATTCCATACACAAGCCCGATCATAACTTTTTAACGCTCGCTTTTTCTTCAAACCTTCCCCGACCATTATTTTTTTGCGATGCCAATATCGATTGTAATATCGGCCTACCGCTGCAGCTCAACAATTCAAAGCCGAAGAGCCGGGACTTCCACGTTATTTTAAACAGAAAATCTCGAGTTGCCAAAATTAAAGTGCGGTTTATCTTCGAACATTTCGCTCGAATTCTCATGTGAGTTACAAGTCTTTTTTTTTCTAACAAAAGATCAACTGTCGCGAATGTGTTATTATGGATTTAAAAATTCCAGAAGCCGCAACATAGTTTCGAATAAGTGCGTTTCGTGTGCGAATCAATGGAAGGAACAAACAAGCGTTTCCCACATATTTTCTCTCAAGATAATTTCTATTCACTTTGTCAACATTAATCGCATAGCTTTATCAACATTGTTGACTCAGATAGGAAGAAGGAATAAAAGCTTTGATGATAAACGTATATTCACGCAAAAGAAGAAAACCGGTTTTATCGTCAGTGAGACAGTAAGGGAACGAGATCGTCGCGTAATTTTTAATTATGCAAATTTTCGACAAGGCGCAATCTGCGTTCGAGGTAGCGCACGTAAAATTATTGCCAATGATGCGGCAAATCTATACGTCTTTGAGCAATTGTTTTTCCGACGCGAATCTGGAATCGGCCATTCGAAATATCCCATCGCGCCTTAAATCCCAAGCCGAGTGATTATGCCGTCGACCGGCGATGAAATTATTTATCGCACTTACATCGCGCTGTCTCGTTCATGCGGAGCATGCATCTACCAAATTGTCTGGCCAGTTACTACATTTTTTCGTAAAGCTGACGCTTGTAAGTTTATAGAAAAATACAATGATACGAATATAAAATATCGGTTAAAAAATACAAAGGAGAAAGGGATACGATATATGAATATATATGCATATAATGAAATTTTTAGAAATTTGGAAATGTGGCTAAATTAGTTGATTTAGAAAAGAAATTAAATATGATATGAATATAGGCAATTTAAATTACATTATATGATTAAATATATCCCTATGCATAATGTCCGATTGTCACAGAAAGATTCTGATCCCATGAATCTCCCTTCATTTTTTATCTTCTGTATATTCTCTTATTCTTTTCATATATTAGACACACATACATACACACACACACACACACACACACACACACACACACATATTATTGCACTCACACTTATCATTTGTCTTGCTTGCGCTACGACGAGCACTCTCTGGGCCCTTTATCTCGCTGCAGGGCCGTATATTGCATTGGAAGGTTTCCTGCTCTGCCGGTCGCATTGAATTCCGCGGGACATGTGCACCGCACCACGACCAGTAAATTTGACCTACATTCACGTTAACCCATGACACACTGGCGACCGCCGGTACGTGCCCAGGGACGTAAAACGACGTCTTTTTTACACAGCCACGAGACACTTTAGCACGGTTTATACCGACTGACGTCTCGCGCGTAAGGCAATGACACGATGTTCCCGACCTGACGGTGACGAGGTTAATGCTGAATGCATTGTATACACGTGAAATAACAAATATTGAATCCTATGCTCATTAGATTATTATTAAATTTAATTTTGTTGTTAATGCTCATAAATTATATTGAACGTTTGAATTTTATAAAGTTAAAATGATTAAATAAATTTCTTGACTCAAATATATTAAGGTCTTTATGCTTTCAAGACTATCAGAAACTGTTAAATAAACTTGATCTTTTTGATATTTGACTCGTAAATTTAATTCCTTGAAAAATAATAAAAATTTAAGTATGTAAAATTTATAAATTATTAATTTACAAATTCCTAAATATATACATAATTTCTAATTAATGCAATTTAATAAAGAAATTCCACAATATTATTTTTTACATTTTATAAAGAAATTTTAATTACTTTTTTTACAAGTGCTTAAAAGATTATGGAAGAATATAAAGCACTTGAAATATTATACTGTTATTTTCATATTGATATATATCATATATTCCAAACTCGAAATACATTGCAAAACAATAAATTTTTATTTTTTAATTGAACACGCCTAGAGCTCAGATTTCGTCAATTACTAAAATTTTTTTTTATTAATTTACTTTTACATAAAATAAAATATATAAAATTTTGATATTTTGGGCTATATTAATATTGCCTTTAAAAAAAATTTAAAAATGTATAAAGTTATGCAATGTTATAAAAAATTATTTTTTTATAAAATAATACTATTTTAATTAAAATAAAAATCATAGTGGATAGTCCGTTACAAATATAATTATTCTACCAAATTTATTATTTTAATGTTAAATTTTTCATATTTAATGTAAATTATTATAATTTGAATTTATCTTTTCTATAAAATAAATATATCGAAGAATTGCGTAAATTTAGAATAAAAAATTATACACAAATAAATGTAATTCTTTTATTATCATACTTTGTTGAAAAAATATTATATCTAATAATGCCTTATATGTTTAAAATTATAAAATATACTTTATTGCAATTAGAAGAGTTTTCTCTGATATGAAAAAATAAGTCAAAGAAAAAAATTGCATTACTAAACTAATTTAATACATAAGTACCTGGTGCTGCTTTGCAAAAACATTTTTCATTAAAATCGGTGAATATACTGGATAATATATTTATATTTATTTGGTTAAATTATTCGAATATCAGATATGATAAAATAAATGTTTCTCTTCTATAAATGTTTATATTTTTTATTCAATAATATTTTAATTTTCTTGGCCAAATATTTTATTATGCCACAAATGTTTAATTGAATAAATAAGATAGTTTATAAAAATTATTCATATAAAATTCATATCAAATTAGTTAAATTAATTATTTTCGTTTTAGAAATAAAGATATTTTTTTATACCGAACATCGTTTTATTTTAATCAAATATTCCTTTCTCATAAATATTTAGATAAAGAGGTAAAATATTTTGTTATGTTATTCTAATATTAAGTTTGATAAAATAAATATTATATTTTAAAATAAAAAACAAAATTCTTGCCAAGTCTACATTTGCAAATTTAAATAAAATTTTCTTTACAATTAAATTTTATTAAATTATATCGCATATCTTCTTTTGTTAATTTCTGTAATCGTAATGAAATATAATTATAATTATATAATATTTTATATATACATATATTCAAATCCAGGTTATTAATTATTTCTATTAAAAATTTAATCAGACTGAAATTTGATCATCGTGTCCTTGTTCCCAAATAGCTATTCATGTAAATGATATAATATAAGCCGATGTCACTGCTTGTATATTGCTGTATGCGTGCAAAAGACACACGTGTCTCTTGATGTTATCTCTGCAAAATTTAAATAATATTTTATTGCGATATTAAAGTATTATCTTGCTGGATGCAGATCTCATTTTGACAAATTTTTTGTACAATAATGAACAAAATGTGCCTATTAAATAAAAAAACTTCGTATGATAAAAACAGTAAATTCCAGCCGGTGTTTATTTTATTTCGCCTGAACCATAAATTTCCTTGCATGTCCGTTTCATTGAATTGGATAGGTTACGTGCACTGTTCCACGTTCAGTAAACTTTATACTTGTACACGTTATACCCATACACTCTCATTGTGTACGTGTTCAGGACCGTAAAATAATATACTTTTTTCTAACGTAGTAGTTTGAGCCTTGTCTTTGCTCAGATCGCCTTAGTACAACCTCTCTACGAACTGTTTACCCCGCAAGAAGAAATTCTTTTTAACTCTTTGATCTTCGCGTTCATAGTACATCAAAATGCAATTAATCCATACTTATTCTTTTGCTGGAAACAGCTTTAATAATAAAATGATTTAGATTGCTGCACAAAGAGCACGATAACAGAAGCACTTGTGCAACATTTGACGTGTCTGTACGTAGTTTGAAGAGTGATTTTAAATAATAATTTGAATTGGTTCCGAGATGTAATATAAATAGAAAAGTTAAGGGATTTTAATTAATTGAAAAATTAAGGATTAAATTTAAAGTATAAGTCATCTTGGTTTGTAACCCTGTTACCTGATGATGTAATTTGGCTCTCGCTGAGTTTCAATTTATCTTTTATTTATTAGCAATAACTAATCGTTAAATTGTCTATTTTAATTTCTTGCACGAACTAGTAATGTTAAACACAATAGTTTGCTTATAGGCGAAGATTTTCAACACACTTCAAAATCTTTATGCCTCTTTATTTCAGATGGGATACATGAAAGTAGTGATACCACCCGATATAATGGATGACGAATCCGCAGATGGCATGGTCACTCACGAAGGGGGCAATATAAGATTGCGATGCGTCGCCACTGGATTGCCGAAACCTATTGTCACTTGGAAACGAGAGGACGGCCGAAACATCATTCTCAGAGAAGACGGGCAGAAACAATGTAAGCGTGTCTCCGAAAATCTTAGCGGTTTTTTATCTATAAAACTACCCCAAGCTACCCCATAACACTGGTTTCGAAAGTTAGATTAGAAAAGATTTTAGCGGAGGGAATTTATTATTTTAATCAGGGATATTAAAGGATAAATGGAGAATTTAATTTTCACAAAAGGGCGAAAAATGGAACGCGGATTCTCAGTAATTAAAAATCACGGGAGAGAGGGAGGGAGGATCGCCCTCTTTTTTATTATATTAATATTTCATTAATAATACTGCGGGACTGCAATGAATCGGATCTAGAATTGAAATGCATTCGAAGCCTCCATCACTCGATATCATTACCGTAAATGATAATTAACGTTCATCACTATGAGGGGCATTCAATAGACATACATTAGTGGATACGTACATTAGTGGATTCAGGTATAACCGAACTCAAAATGTAACACGCAAACCGCTGTGTGGTCCATGCTCTGATGAACTTATATTCACTTATCGTTGATATTTTAGAATAAGCTTTGAATCGCATTACACTCACAGAACCCGGCATTCTCGTAAAATCGAGTTATCCGAGATTCCTTTGAAACCGCATGCTTCACGAATGTATTTGGCAAGTGACTGTATATACATTTCGTCGGAATAATAACAAATTCAGCAGAGTCAAACAGTGAAAATTGTGCCCATTTGAGATACGCAAAGTGAGCACAACATAAACTGTGTGTAAATAAATGAGATTTATCTATACATAGAATGCTCTAAAAATAGAGTTCTCCTCCCCTCCCCTCTCTCTCTCTCTCTCTCTCTCTCTCAAGCCTTGCAGCATATATTAGAAATAGGATTATAACTTTCCTTAATTAATACTTGCAAAAAGTTTTGTGAATTCCGAGAGATAATGCTCTAATAATGATAATAATACATTGTATTAAAAGTGATTAAATTTAGTTTATCTAAATTTCTCTTGCATTATATTGTTAACTAGCAATAAATTCCTTTGTGTGTATTTTCCATCGTAACCCGAATATCATGTAGCCAATTATCTCTCCTTTCATCATTCATTAGTAATTCCATATTCTCGATTTTAACGACAATTGATTTCAGCAGGACAATAATAATGATAATAATAACAAGCATATAAACGAGTGAGAACGAAATATAAAAGTATGTTAGACTTGCGCTCGAATTTTCATTTGCGATAATTCATTTGCGAATTTGGTATAGCGTTACACTAGCCAGAACAACAACCCTAATTAATAACTGTTTGATAATACCGTATACAAAACAGGAACAAGCTGTGATTATATATTAATTAAATCTTTCATTGTGCTAATCGATGCGTACGTTTAGTACTATCAGTGTGTTTGACTTTCATTAAAATAATGGTTTAACAAAACTTTCTTTGTTTGCTCGAGCATTCGATAAATTAATACGAAAGTTAAAATATATTTGTTTAATTTAAAGAGATAAGATTGTCAAATTTTAATTTTTTTCATAAAACAACTATAAATTCTGACTGAAAATTTCTAAAGAAAGATTCCACACAGAAAATTTTAATCTAGTTTAGTTCGGTTTTCCCTCAAAAGATCATAGATAATGATTTAAAAAATTTATGAGGATCGAGCAGAGAAAATTTTCTGAAATTTAATTGGTATAATTAAAATTTAATTATTATGCTCGTATCTAATTAGCATAAAACGAATTTATTTATAATTAAATTTAATCGTTTATTAACGCGAGTATTTAATTAGATTAAATCGACGTTAAGTCGATTCCGCTCGTATCTTGATTCACAATAATCCAAAGATACGTATATAGATGAAATCACGATCGGAAATTCATGGATTGCAAAACTCGCAACTCTGATTAAAATCGCAAATAATTACACAATAAATGTCAAGGTTTATAAAGCATGTAGAATTTCCGTAAATGTATGTCCCTTCAGAACCTTGAAAATAATTCCGCTTATTTTAAAAGGGAGTTGCCCGGGGAGTTCGGAGTTACTTTAAAGTTTGGAGTTTAGTATTAGTTTAGGATTCGCGCGTTCACAAAGTGTTGACATCTGACTCTGTATGGAATGCACTTTGAACGGCGAATTCCAACTGTAAAGCAGACATATTGCGGAAACAGGGTCATAGGTAACGCGCGTGTATGCCGTGGTTTCGGGTTGTTGGTCATCTTTAGCTTTATTATTAAACTGCACCTTTGATTTATTGCCATTGTTGAATGTGGAATAACTTATCGAGTGCTACAGATGTCGTAGAAGCTGTACAGTTGTAAATTAATAATTTCATTGTAAGATGTGATGAAGAAACGAAACTGGACAAACAAAGTGTAATTACGGGCAAAGATTCGTCGCAACATCACGTTATTATTTCTCAATATCATATAAATCGTGTTCTTAATTTCTTAAGTTCTCAATATCGTAATAAAGTGAAGTCGATATGAAGTAAGAATGAAGAAATTTAACTTCATCGCCGAGAAATAATTTGCGCCGAGAAGATTTTTTGCGTAGGGACAAAAATTTTTCAGTTACGGGATTAAGGATGACGCAAACGTTTTTCTGATGATGAGCGTAATTGATAATATCCACTCTTTTTTCACGCCGTTAGACGGGATTAAGCTCGAGAGGAGTCAGCGATACGCATAAAGCTCTCTGGGAAGAAGGTGCCACGATTACGTCGATTCTCTAATTAAGACGGTCGTGCCGACGCGGCTGGAAAAGTGTCGGGGCGATAAAGTGTCGGGGCGCATCAGCGCGGAATAATCGATCGTCTCTCGCGCTTACTCGGGCCCGTCGGTAATTAATTACAGCGCGAATGGTAATTTACGCCCCCGCGGCAAATACATAAGCACACTCCTCCACAATGCGACACGGGGGGGGGGAAGGGAGGAGGGATGGAACGGGGAGGGGGCTGGGGAGTATACGTCTAAAACCATAAATTATTACGAGGCGCTGCTTCAAGTTTAATCGCAAAATAAATAAATCGATAAATACATATTGTACTCCACGCGTCTCCCCTGTCGTCCTCGTTTCGGTGTCATCCGGAAACCTCGCGTCGCGTGTCGCCTCCCCCCCCTCCTCCCCTCTCCTCGTTTCTAAAACGCCGGGGGAACTTTGCGTTGACGCGGAGGTAGCGTACAACGATCTACTTAGCGCCTCCTGGAGATTAAGAGAAATTGTAGAAGAATCGTTCCATAAACTTCAACAGACAGGCGAACTCGTCCTCACGATTAATCCCACCCCGAAGGATTAAAGTTTACAGGGGTTAACGACCCTCGCGCGCGGACGAGGTCGAGGACGATCCGTTTGTCGTCCTTCGCGAGTTAAAGTGCACTTATTGACCGCTCTTACAAGCAATCCGCCCACGTCACCCCAGTAATCCCAGGCCCACTATACGCGAGGTACATTTCGTGTACAAGCAGCGATGCTGCCGGGAGGATCTCCGAATCCCCGACTACCTGTCCTCTTAGCGTCATTCTCGCCGGAGAGATCAGCCGGTGGAGCTTTCGCGTGAAAAAGAGAAAAAAAAAGAAGGGAAGAAAGTCCGAGAGGAATTGCCAGGCGGGCGAAGAGAAGGAGTAGATATAAAAGAAGAAATTCTCCGATCGTAATCGTCGCTTCGTGCCGTTTTCGCCCTCCGACTGCCTCCTTCGAATCCCCCCTCCCTCCCCCCCCCTCCCCGTTCCGCCGGCCCGCTCGTGTCAGTCTGATCTCCGAAGCGTCGTAAAAATAGACACCTGGACGACATCCGGGATGACACTCGTTAAACGTGGCGGGGACTTCGGAGGGAGATCGAGAGAGATCCGTCGGCGAGATCGTGAACGGGAGAGTAACGAACGATAGTGCGCGAACGAACGGTCGTAAAGTCGCCTCCATCTTCCTGCTGATGGCCCCACCGGCATATCGCGAGAGGAGAGATGCATAGGAGAACGCGTCACGCCGAGTTGGCAATCGAGATCTCCTCACCTCGCGAATGCGACGACGTGACTCCTCCACGACGCCGATTAAACGACGAGCGGACGTTCCCGAGATTATGGGGGAGGGAGGAGGAGAGGGGGAGGGTGGATATACGCTGTAAACTTTTACAACGCATTCCCGATAACGACATTCGAAATTCGATGGTCGGAACAATGAACCCCAGTTGACTGCGTCCCGTGGAAATTTTAGCGGCGGTTTTCGGAAGCTATTTCTATATTGATTGAACGATATAAGAAAGAAAAAGTTTCCGAGTGAGCGCTGGATATGCGAAAGTTAAAAATAGCTTAGCTGCTGATTCAATTAGAGCGTTCGATAAAAAGAACGTAATCTTCCTTAAGACTTGCAATTTTTGTAGAGGACGCCATGCTGTATCTTATACTAAATGAAATATAGAGAGTAGCGTTTTTATTCGGCAAGTTAGATCGGTCGATTTTGGAGCTACTCTATGTAATATTTATTAATATAAATTTATGTTACGAAAAAGAGAGAGAGAGAGAGAGAGAGAGAGAGAGAGAGAGAGAAGAGACGAA